GCTATCAGAAGTTAACAGAAGACACTTTTGCGAATCTGCAACATGTGCTCCAAAACATGCAACACGTGCTCCAAAACAGAACTGCTGCACAAATCGTATTTATTTTATGTGCAATGTTTTTATTTCAGAAAGTTACAGAAGGATATTTTGAACATTTCCGTGATTTACAACATGGCCAAAGTTAACAGCATCTTCAATAGTTTCAGTGTAATGGAATGTGGGAATGACCTTGGGAGACAGAAGGGGGAGCCACATATTGGACAACCAGTATATAAAGGTGTCTTAGATCACAAAAGACCCTTCCTGGTTTTCCAGAGAGTAAAAGGAAAGGAGAATAGAAATACTTTCAGTCTTGCAAGATTCTTTTCAAGAAATCTTACAATAAAATAGAGCTATCACTTACAAGGCTGACACCCTGGATGCAATTAAATTATTCTTCTCCCCACCCCCTTCCTTAATGCAATTATGTGTTCACATCAAATTCTGTCTGCAGAGAAATATGATCCCGATAAATGCCTTTTCTCTATGCATCTATTGTTGAGCTGATCCCTCCATGCATAGCTGCTTCTCTTTTTTCTTACCCTCTGTGAACAATTAACACTAAAGGAAAAATAGGCAGAGAGACAAAAACAGAGGTAAGTTTGCGTTTCTCTCAGTATTTGATCCTAATCAACATTTTCTAGGAGAGTTTTAGTATTTACAGCATTCCATGCCTGGTTTGTAGTGCATGGCTTATTTGACCTGATGCATATAACAGGATGCTCAGCTAGAATCTGAAAGTACATTTTCAGTGCATTATTTTAACCTCTGACATGTAGGCAGCATATAGGCATCCACGTTATGTCTACCTGTAACTGATACTTTACAATGAACATGTTAAATAACACGTGAACTGCTAATGCCCTAATTATTATAACTATCTATTGTAAACTGGCAGAAGTAACAGTATATATACATAAAAGATGTTTAACTGTATTTAAGCAAGAATGGTTTTGCTTATCTTACATATTTTTTCTTTCATTATCCTCAGTATTAAATAAGTAGCTCAAGACTGAAAACTTTATTGTACAACAAATACTTTGATGTAATCTGCAACACTTTCTTTTTTTCTACCATGATACTTAGTTTCATAGGACAAAAGTCAAACTGTTTGCAATGTTGATATCCCAAATTGTAATTAATAACTAATGAAGAGTCAGTTGAGTGTGGGGTTAGCACCAAACTAGAAACTGGGATACTGTGAATTCTAGTCCCCTGTTAGCCACAGAACCAGTGGGTGACCATCAGCCAGCCACTCTCTCTCAGACCTCAGAAGTAGGCAATGGCAAACAATGCTCATGAAATCTTGCAAAGAAAACTGCAGGGAAGCAGTCATCAAGAATTAATACTGAGGCAACCAATAATAATACTGAAATTAAATATTTCTTTTTTACTTCTAATACTCTTAAATTATATAAAACATAAAAATATCAATAATTTTAACCAATACTCTGCAAATATCATTGTATCAAAACAATATAATGAATTAAAATCTACAACATAAAATGGAATCCAAACTTTTCATATCCCATTCATATAGTTTGGCATTGCAGCCTAGGCTGAACTCATGTTCAGAAGTAACATGAAGTGCTCATGACTCGTAAAGAAAAATAAATAATTTACTAAGAAATAGAAAGATAGTAATTTAATATCCATTAAGATTTTTTAAAATAATAATAATAATAATGCAGTGAGCATAGTCAGAATAAAACTATGTCAAAATCTGTTTTAGTTATGTAAGCTGTGATGTGGCTTCCAGGCTTACATGCACTTTATTTCATTCATAGGCTTCTGCATTGACATGAAGAACAAATTGCTATTATCTAACTAGCAATGTATCTAAAAAAAGAAACAGTGGAATCTTTAAATCGGTTTTATCCAGAAGCAAATTGTGCTCTCTAGTCCCAGTTTCTTGAACACTGGCTGGTATAAGTCTACAGTACTCTAAGTTGAGACGGCATGTGGAGCAAAACATTGACATTTTTATTTCTCATCAACTCACATGAAAAGAATGTGAAATTGCTGGAGTCTGAGGTTCTAATTGCATACTAACTGTATACGATTGCATGGTCATGCTTATTAGGAAGTACAGGAGTTGAAATCCAACAGTGATTTGTATCTTCATGCCAAACAAGTTTATATCTAAAATTCTATGTGCTGGACAGTCCATCCTTAACAATCCATCCTTAACCCTGGGGGGTGAAAATTTATGCCCCTCAGAGAGGGCTCGCAATTTGGAAGTCCTCCTGGATTCGCAGCTGAAATTGGAAATCATCTGTCAGCTGTAACCAGGGGGACCTTTGCCCAAGTTCGTCTGGTGCACCAATTGCGGCCCTATTTGGATTGGGATGCGCTTCTAACGGTCACTCATGCCCTTGTCACCTCGAGGCTGGATTATTGTAACACGGTCTACATGGGGCTACCCTTGAAAAGCTTTCGGAGACTGCAGAATGCATCCGCACAGGTGATAGTGGGTGTACTGAGGTACACCCACGTTACACATATTCTCCGTGAGCTGCACTGGCTACCTATTGGTCTCCAGACTCAATTCATGGTATTGGTTATCACCTTTAAAGCCCTACATGGCTTAGGGCCAGGATACCTTTGAGACCGCCTGCTGACACATACATCGCAGTGACCAGTAAGATCCCATAGATTGGGCCTCTTTCGGATGCCGTCGGCCAAACAATGTCGGCTGGCGGGCCCTCGGAGGAGAGCCTTCTCGGTGGCTGCTCC